TACAGATTTCTACTTCGCAAATCATCTACAGATTTCTATATCGTTATGGTCGTTTTAACGCTATTTTGGCGACTTTCTTTGTACTACGTGATGGGCTACAAAGAGGACAAGGCGGTAACGGAAACGGTAACTCGCTTTAGTAATTCCTTTAAATTTTTTCAATTTTTTTTTAAGAATTTTTCCTTTTTCAACAGCACACCATTACGCTTAAAATTCAATTTTAATATGTTAGGTATTCCCGTTAATTAATCACCTTTTAACCCCAAAATCACACAAATGCAGCTGTACGCTTGGGCTGCCAAACGGAGTTATTTCTCTCAGTCTGTATACTTTGTGGGAATTTTACGCCGTACGGCGTAATTTCTTCTGGTCGGTAATGTACCTACTGTAGGATTTTACGTTGTAGACAAACAGCGCTAAATCGTACAGTATATAGACTGAGTTAGTGGCGTAAAATCTTCCAGTTTATAGAATGAGATAATCCCATAATTCGCTGTTATCGGATACGCCCCTATGAGTAAATCGTTTAAGGATGGGTTGAGATCTCTTAAGTGTTTCAATCCTAGAGCTAGCAACACTTTTGTAGTCTGGGTAAAATTTATGCTTGGTATCTATTTTTTAGGCTGCCCTATGGGCTGGAATGCTATAGTCTGTGTAGATGAAAAAAAACTGAAAAAAGAAAAAGTCGATTAAGCTTAACGTACCTGTATGGATTGGATATCTGCCGGAAAGGAGAGCACTTCTCGTGGGGGAGCAAATCGGTTGCACGTAATAGTTGTCCAAGATGACTCCTTCTGCTGCCAGCTTGTCCATGTTTGGGGTGTGAATTTTTGAACCGTGGAATCCCACATCGCTCCAACCATAATCATCGATAACTACCAACACGATATGCAAAGGCCGACTACTTCCTTGCACAATAAAAAATACAGCAGATAAAGTTACGGAAAGAGGCAAATGTGTGAAACGCATTCTGTGGGAAAAAGGCCAAAGAAACGTTGATTTTATGCAATCGAAAGCTGAACGCCAATCGTTGTGTGAAGATTTCCGTTAAATGTCACGGACCTTCCTTAGTCACGAGACACAAAGAATGAATTAGCATATTATCAAGTCACATGACATTATATAACCTTGTATACTCATGCAAACCTGAAATTCTAACGATGTTTCCGGCCGTTTTCCTCGTATATTTTTCCTCAGCTGTTCTTCATTTCGTTAGTAGCTTGAAATCTCCGCATATAGTCCTAGTCGTGATCGATGATCTAGGTTGGAGTGACTTAGGTTTTCAAGGGTCAAAAATTCAAACCCCAAATATCAACACACTGGCGGCAGAAGGAGTGATACTGGAAAACTACTATGTGCAGCCCTTGTGTACACCAACACGAAGTACCCTCATGACTGGAAGATATCCCATTCACACAGGTACGTGGAAATGATCGCACAAAGCGTGATTTCACTGATTTCGAAGATCTCATTGCATGCAAAGTTCTGTGACTGAGAACGTTGCTGGCGTGACAAATGCTCAACCTATGTCACGCAATCACACAGAAGTGCTGTAAAAATGATTCACACTATAGTGCTTTGTTGTGTTTTTCAATAGGTCTGCAGCACTTTGTCATTGAACCTGCTCAACCTTATGGAATGCCACTGAATGTTACAACCCTGGCACAGTAGTTGAAAGAGGCTGGTGAGTTTTTGGTGTAAAGTTAATCTGTTTTTAAGTTGTATATGTTGTATTCTCAAACTGTATTCCTAGTACTAGTTGCTTCATGCTACTGATGCTGAGACGTAAACTCTACCTTAATAAAGAGGATGATACCTATCCTAATGACACTGATGGAATTTGGCTCCTTGGTGTAGAAGACACTGGACATGTCACAATAGAACACCGCCTCATTAAACTTTGTATTCATTGCTTTCCTCATTCTTTAATAAAAGCCCTAAAAATCGAAAAACACATTAAAATGTCCATCAGAAGCTGAGAAAAGCACACCTCGTCTACGTTTACTTCTCGAGCTTTTTGATAATAATAAAGATGATAATAATGATAATAAAAATGATTATGATAACAGTAATTTTAAGTCTCTTGACAAAGGAAATGTAAAGTCTTCAAAAGTTCAACGCAAAAGAATAAGAAAAATTTACTATAAAAATAATCTATAACTGATGAATTTAAGGAAGTCTTGCTCGACCCTTCTCTACTTCCAGATCCCTGTCTTTAATGTCTAAGTTCCTCCTTGGGGTTCTAGATCCCCATAGACGTAGGAGCGCGCTCCGCAAAATTGCAAAGGACACTATTATTATGTGGCAGTTAAAACGTCTGGATGCCAGAACCTTTATACACGAAAGCTAGGCGTCTAGGACGTGGCCAGCTAACATGTTTAGAATTTACATATGTACCCCCAACCCCTCAAAAAAAGAAAAACTAATACAAAATGA